TTTGAATGTAGTTGCCTGGAAAGAATTTTTTGATGCTTTTTGGTTGTCCAAGACAGAATATAAACCATAGTTCAGAGAATTTAAAGGTTATTTAGATTAAGTGGTCTACGTTTTATGCAATAATTAACTATCAGTTAAGAAGTTTAGAATAGATTGGGAATGTGCATTTTTGTACAATCTGTGAAGTTATATTCCTAGTAGGTGCTCCTTGAAAAATGGTGGCAATTTTTTGTGTGAACCCTGATATTCAAAAGCGTTTGATACGTGCGTGGTATTAGAGTACTGCTGCAAGTGATGTTCTTTAATAACTGAAAGCAAATGGCACAGCGATTAAAATTGCTAGAGAGACTCCTGGCAATCAACAACAGGTTCGTGCCACTGAAAATGTATTCGCTCAATTCATGGAAATTTTTTTACCTTCACTTACTTCTCTTGCACAAACATGGCTTTCTTCACAAAACAGGATTTCTCCTCTTCAATTTTTCCACATCCCCCATTATCCATGATAGTGTTCCATAGCTTACAGTCTTGATTTCTGATAACTTCAGCTATTGCATACAGGTGGTCTGAACGCTCGCTTAAAAAACTTGTTAATGCGATCAAGGTATTTGCCTTGATATGCCGCTCCCCAAATTTCAATTCCATACAAAAACAGGGACATAATTAAAAGATCAAATAATTTTGTCAGTTGTTCTTTAGGGTATCCAAATATTTACAAACACATAAAATGTATAAATGACTACTAGCTTTGCATAACAAATTGTCAACATGAAGGTCCCAGTCCGATGGATTCTCCTGGAAAATTATGCCAAGCAATTTCAACCAGCTTTTTCATTCAATCCCCTGTACCAGTAGCGGCAGTGGTTTGGAAATTCACCATGCACCACCATCTCCCAGGTCTTAGTGAGGTCTAGTTTCATATGGTTTCTTACCGCCCAGTGGTGAATACTTTTAATCTCAATGGAAGAGTGATCTTGATGTGCAGACACATCAATTTCTACATGTACATTGTACCTTCCTGGAGAGCGTGGTACATGTAGCAACTGCACTGAAGTCACATGTGCATGAGAGGGTGCTGAAGTTTGAAGGTTTTGGACATGTTGCATATACAGTGTACATGTACTCCTGTGTTCCTGTAGACAATTTAGAATACATGACATAAAGTAAACTTGTTTTTTGAATCTGGACGTAATGTTAATTAGCAACTAAGGCCTGATGGTTGATTAAACACTGCAATATTATTTATGCAACTTTTCATAACAGGTCAGATAGGTCTTTAATGTTTAGATCGCTGAGGTGAAGGTTCTTGCTTACTGTGATGAAACAGCGAGGGCTTAGTTGACAATCATGGTACTAATCCTTATGTGTGATTAAACTGGTAATACCCAATAAAACACAACATTGTTAAATCATCTCATTTATTTATTTATTAAGCTTTGCTTAAAAAAATACTAGTAATAACATATATACCTGGCAGGGTCACCACAACATTTCCTGTTACAATCTAAATATCTCTTTTAGCGGTAGCAAAATAATGGCTTGCTTAATTGACTACTAAAACTATATCACTACTACATTACTACTATATTGTGTTACAGGTTTAAAATAAGCTGAAGGAATTATGGCAAAATTTGTTTATACTCTGCCCTCCTAAACAGGGCACCATTGCTTTGATCATTCTGTATCTCAAAAAAAGCCTTCTAGTGAAACTTTGTATTTCCTTTCTGATATATGGGGGTTTCGCAGAGGAAAGGTGAATGTGTTAGGTATCAAAGAGGAATGGCCTGGGCAACTCCCAGAGTACTCCCGACTCCCTAGTTTTGCTTTTACAAGAATGTCTTTAAGGGACCTACCACTTCTGTATAAAGCAAGAGCAGGTTTTTGGTGAATTTTTCCTAGCTGTGGAAGACATTCAATTGAGTGCTGATGTTGCATTAGTTTTTGTGTCAAGTTTGGAACTGCTGGTGGATATTGGTGATAAAAAATTGTGTTACAAAAGGCAAGATTTATTTGTTTGTTTGACTCTTTTTGAAGAGCCTGTTTTATATTATTAACAAAGATAATTAACTCAGTTTTTACCTAGATGTCTTAGTGTCAGAAATTGCAGCCTTGAACTGGATTGTAGGGTGTTGATTGTTGCCATCTTCAGTGAACTGCTCTAGTCTGTCTCTATTGATACCTCAGAAGGAGAAGGTATCTAAAAATTGTTCCAAATTAGGGTTTTGAATATGCCTTGGCTAAGGAATTCTCTTTGGGCATAAAATATTAACAAACTAAACACCATTTTTCCCCATAACAGTACCCTGCATTTGTTGATAGATTTTGCGGGTAAACTAGAATGTGGTCTCAATTGCACGTGACATTACCTTCCAAATCCAGCAGAGGCAATGTCTTGTTAACTGCCTTGTCATTTATGATTACTCTTAAACACATGACTGCAACTTCTTGAGCTGGAACTAATTCAAAGTCCCATACAAGTGCACCCTTTTATTATGGTCACTGTTCTCTCTTTAAAATGAAATCTAAAAAAATATCTAGGAATAAAACATGAATCAAAATAAGCTTAAACCAACTGATGTTGCAATTGGCAATTTATGGCCCTCTTCAATCAAATGTAGAAACAAAAGACAACAAAATCCTTTCAAGTTGAGAAAGGTACACATAACCTATTTTAACATCACATGTAGTAATTAAAGAAACCACAATTTGGCTTCTGACTGTGAGCTGATTGACTAAATGAACACTGATAGAAACCTGCGCTGGTGCCCCAATCATGTCATCTTTGCTTGAATGCTAGACAACCTTTCAGGTCACTCGTTGCTAAAAGATAATGTGAGGACAGTCCTTCCACTTTTTCTGGTGAATCAAATCTAACTCGTACGTGCAGAACTTCATTAAGAATGCTGTTTTGGAGCTGTTAAGCATACCAGTGTAAAACTCAAACAAAAACAACCAGCGAGTCAAAACAAAATATATTTCACTTGTTGTACACTAACAATACTCCCCTTCCTTTAGGTGAAGAGTAATCTTCCAGACTGGTAATGAAGGACCTCTCAGAGACTTTAGGCATTCCTTTCTTGGCAAGATGCCAGGACTGTAACAGTTCTCGGTCAAAGAGGTGGAATGGATTGCTTGGAGTACCTGGCCAGTAATCCATACTAATCGTAGACTAGAATGTTAATTCATAAGGTATGTGGTATTGGAACAATCAGAACAAAAATAGGAAGACACTACATCTAAATCAAATTGACCTGCAGAAAGTGGAAAGTATTTTGAATTTAATAATAATGTGAGGAAAATGCAAATTAATAATTTATACAAGTAAACTTGACTATCACATTGCATTTAATGATTACTGCCATCAACAAAATTATTGAGAAGTCAAACAAATTTTGATCTGCATGGAAAATCTAATGTGCAACAACAGAGACAACCTCTTCTTTGACACTTTCAAACACCACTGGAGTCCAGTCTCAAGTTGAACCGCATTGTCAACCAATTTATCAACCACCCCTTGAATTGTCTCTGCCTCTCTTGTAGCCTCAAGGGCAATTCACATTATCAATTACTTCATTAAGAACGCCCTTGATTATCTGTGCTTCAAATGAAAATGTCTCCAATAGCAGTGGCACTCTCTGAGGGAGAAACATTAGGCAAATGAGGTTGGGCATTTTTCATAACGGTGGATCTTTTTGAAACAGTCTCTGTTGATAGCACAAACCTGTCAGTGCTGACTTCAATATCACTGGCTGCAGATGCTGTGATAGTAACCTGAAAAATCAAGAGTTTGTTTTTCTTTGAGAGCAAGGATTGATCTGTGCAAGAGGACTTGACAAAGTGCAACTCAACACTGATGACATAAAAATTTTTATTTGAGCTGGATAGTTCTTGGATGGTATCTTCCCATTGCCTCTTGTGACCATCAATTTTGGAAGAACAGTGGGTTGTTAATAGGGCGTGAGAGACAAGTGGAGAAACATCGCTGCGGGATATTTTTGGGAGTTGAAAATGCTGATGAGTTGCTTTCTCATCTCAAGGTAGAAATTATAATGTGGACGTTTCACACAGCCTCCGAACCCCAAAATATATGCGCTACAGGACACCCAATTTAAAAAAACCAGAACAGATACTTGTACCACTTTTTAGATTGCCTTCCCACAAATTATTTTATAAGCAGAGTTTTGTTAAACAAGTAGCTAAGAACAAAAGTGAAAGATTTCTAACACAACGTTTTGAGGTGCTCATTACTCCATTATCTCCATTGCGAATAATATTACAATCAAGCAAGAGATGAGAAGAAATAATTTTACATACTGGTTAACTAAATGCAAAATAACACAAGCAAAAGTAGGGGAGGTAGGGGCATGAGAGCTGCAGTAAGTGAAAAGGTGAAAAAATTCTCCATCGCAATTTGCGAGTAATTCCTAAATTTTAGTCGCAAGTTCGAAAATTTTAGTCGCAAAAGTAACCAACCCAAACAAAATATAATACAAATAGTTAGACAGTTATTGACAAGTTAACATCATTTAGTTTAATTACTCCAATAGCTTCCGTGAATTACCATCGAAAGGAGGGTAAACATTTACTTGCTGAATAAACAAGTGAAATCTCCTGAATCGTTCACAGTTCAACAGGAACATAAGTTAAAATATTCAGTAGCGAAAACACTATTGTCTCTAAAATATAACATCCACAAATGCCTTCCGCAGCTTAACATCATTCGATCGAAACTACTAACTTTTGTAAAAGAAAGATGAGAATATAATTCAGTAGTTACAGAATCAGAATATTTTAAAACTACATGATGCTTTCAGACCAAGGGATCACAACGCAATCGCGCGAAAATAATACCAACAAAGTCTCATGGTGCTAAAATGATGGACTTAGTCTTTCTTTGAAAATTTGTGCCCTAGAAAACTAATTATTTACGGAATGATGATATGTTGCGCAAATTTTGTACCTGTCAAAGTCAGGACATCCTACAACTTCGACTTAGCGCTCTAGCAGCGCCATGTTTGTCTTCGTTTCATACCGTTAGAAGCATCATGGTCACAATAAAACTGCGCATTAAAACATAATTCACCTGCAACTAAGAGGCGCAATACTGTTGCAGGAGATTCATTCCCGTGTAGAAGAATTGAACTGGAGTTAAACAAGCAGTCTCCGACGTTTGTCGTAGCTTTGATTGCAAAAAAACGTTCGCCTTTGACCTGGTTGACATCTGCTGGGATCAAACACGTGGCGAAGTCATCGCGAGGAAGATTTTGAAGAATAAGGTCACTTGCAGTTCTAATCTCGTTTCTGAATACGTCCAGCTTTCTCGTGAATATTCTCTTTGTCTCTTCTAAATTTTCATTAATAAGAAGAACCTTAAAAGAGGATAATTCCTGGTCATTTTTCATACATTGTGAAGCAAAGTAGACATGGCAAACATAAATCGAATACTTCTACCGGAACTGGAAATTAGAAACGAAGATTTCCTAGAAATTTCATGAGGGTTGCACGACATAGTTTCTGAAAAAGTGCGCCCGCGATGCGTTTCTCAGCAAGATATCAACCATAAAAGTCACGCAACATTTAGCCTGAATTTCGCAGAATTTTTCAGATAAAACTACAGCAACCAGTAACAAGTAAGACACAAGGCTGTTAAATATAATTTTATTTATAAGCTAGTCTATAAAACAGTCGGAAAATTGCTAGCAATGGAGATATTTTAGTCGCAAAGGCGAAATCTTTATTCGCAAATGCGCCCGATACAGGCGCAATTTCGAGCCCTGTTAATGGGAGCTCTTTGCATTGAGAGATGGAATCACTAACATCAAAAATGGAAAGATTTCAGTTAGAAGAGAAAGTGGTGTCCTTAATGATTTCTGGGATCAAGTGTGTGTTATGACAACACCTCGAAGAGGAATTGAGTTTACATGTGAACATGATGGTGTGGAATTCACAGTTGGAGAACTGAAAGTACTGATATTTTACTTTCTGAAGGAAAAGAAATTCTGGTATCAATTGAACTGTCTCTTGAAGTCAAAGACACAAGTAGACTATTGGTTAAGAGCTATCATTCAACAAACGGTTTTGAACGGTTGTTGTAGGAAGCCATTTACCCTGATGACATTTTAGATATATCTGACAAGTGAAGGGACAAGTATCACCCAAGAGTTTACAAATAATACATACCTTGTGAACTGACAATTGATCTTACGTGCTGAAGGTGCAACAACAGCCAATAAATGTATTGTCTGAAGGTTACAAAGTTATATGACTATTTAAATCTAAGTTTACTATCCTTTGTTCTAACAAAAGTAACACTATGATTGAATATTATTTTATCCAAGCTGCCCCAGTACACTTATCTTAAGTCCTTGACCTTCTTTGCCATGCATGCATGCTGTGTTAATGAAATTGTTCCCCTACAATTGAGTTTTAAACAGTCTATTATAATTTTCTCACACGTAATGTGACCTGTACTGATTTAATCAATCAATTAAAAGCAATAATAAAGAAAATTTACTATTATCATTCATGTGCAGCTTTAGCTGACCATATAGCTACTCAAAGCCGTATAACCAGCTTTGGGATGAGTTTTAAAGACAACAGTCAACTCAAAAAAATTTAAAAAGCCCAATTCGAGTTGATTAGTATTGTTTTGTTTTGACTATAAATTACCACTCTTGTTCTTATTGAAGGGTAGTTTTCTAGGTACCTTGGATAGGGCATCAGCATAGCTCACCCTGGCCCATTTCTCTGAGCTGGTGTTCAGCTGGTTGTGTTTATCATTAGTTACATCAAAAATGGCCCCTTTGCTAGGTTGTTTATTTCGACCAAGGTGTACTAAGGATTTTCTTTTCCTTTTGGATGGTAAGACTTTACTGAAGAGAGCCTGGATGTGGATGAAATTCAGATGACATTCCTTGCTTTTTGATTAAGTGTGCCTGTGCTTTTTGATTTCAAATAACTTGTTCCAGTTCTCAACTGAGAATTTGTCTCTTTCAGTCTTTTACGAGGGTTCCACTTGTTAAAAGTGGATTCCAATTCAAGAACTTTCTTATTGAAGGTCTCACAGTTGACCACAAAGTCCTCTGAATGTTCCTCGAAGAAACCTCCATAGATTTGAAAGAGTTCTTGTAATACTTTAGACCTAAACTTTGCAATTCCTGTTCCATCTAATTTTACATTTGTGCTGCTTCTTTCAGAGCCTCCAACACAGCTAGTTTGTCAAAACCACACATATCTAGACTCCAAAAAATATCTCTATTTGTAAAATATATTATCTGTTGGGAATATATTGTACGTGTCTCTCTCTAAAACTAATGAATAATTGGTGCCAAAACCAAAGGGAAATTATGTGAGTAATATGATACATGGCAGAAGTTGTTTGCTTTGGCTTCCTTTAGAAAGGTTTAAAGCTTACGCTCGATCTAAAACTGTGATAGCCCCCACAACACTCGAGTTGCAGCAAAGACTAAAGGCAGATCTATGATTGACTTCTTACAGAAAGCCTTACACATCCATTACATCATAAAAAAACCAATTCTTCAATCATCTTGTTCCTTCTTTTGCCCTTTGTATGCAAAGGAAACGTGTGATTTATTTACGCAATGTATCAAACAAACTTGCCCTTTTCGTCTGCCATCTTGTTTCTTGTTCTGTGTGTTTCTGTTCTCATTGGCTGAAAGCAATCGTTTCTACTGACTGTAAAAAGATTGTCTGTCAAGTACAAGTGCAAAATGGCTTAGTGTTCATGTACAATTGCGTGGACCACGTGGAAACACACTTTTGCACTTCATACAAAGAACGTATGAAAGTCTGTTACAGATCTAATATTAGAGGGAAGGGAATTATAGACACATGCTGGTTTTAGCCAAGGGGAGTCACAACTGACCACGTTGTCTGGTGAAGTGAGAGTGGTGAAGAGTGAGGGTGGTGAAATGAATATGTAAGTGATGTGTTGTCTCAGGGGACACCACCATCCGTGTGCACCATTAACAACCAGATCCTTTCAAAGTATGCACCGTTTTTTTAATTCTATTTCATTTATTCCAAAGTACGTACTAGTCACCGAGGAGTCATATCCATTTTTGATTCGTGATAAAAGCAAAATCTATGTGTTCAGACAATCCACAGAGTTGAAGTATACTTTTGTAACATTTTAACAAACAGTAAAATCAAGTATAACCATGTTGCTTTTCACTATTTCATTTCCTCTTAATAATACAGTATCAGAGGGAATAAGTTAAAAACATACCTTTGCTCCCATAATGTTCGACAACTTTTCTCTTCCAAAACGCAATGATGAGTTTTCCTGATAAGACACTGTATTTTGTGAAGGTTAAGAAATTGCTTTGTACAGATCATGCTTGCAATGATCCATAAATGCTCAACACCTCACATAAAAATAAAACAATACATCAGAAGAATGGGAAATAAATCAAAAAGTACATGGTAGGTTTATGAAGTAGTTCATCAAGTGCTTGCTTATTTTGGAAAAAAACATTGGTAGCACAATTATATCCCTTACAGTATTGCAATAAAAGGCTCTAAACCAGCCTGTAAAAAGCCAAGGCTTAATTAATGCCAGCAAAGTAAGCAATTTAAAAACTATTGACACTAAGGTTATATTTACGAGTCTGGAAAATAGGCAAAGATCTTTAATCTTATTGAGGCGTAAATTGCACCAATCTGCATTTACAACAGCTATGGAAAATATAATTTTGAATTGACAGTTACTCAATGTCCAGCATAACATCTAAGTGTGTGATATTTAGTCACTGCCACCACAATTCTGATATTGAATCCAGCTTGAGTAACGAGTTCTGCAAGGGTAGTGCATTGGATGTTTTGGTATTGAATAGAAGAAATTGAACCTTCAATGTATGCCCAATGTGCGGCCTGATTGCGGACTTGACCAATCAAACTCATCATCTTGCAGGACATTTTAACTGGTCATTTTTGGATACGAAGATTTTATTCCATACAGTTGTTATGTAATGCGTTTTGCTCTTTGATGCTGTAATGATTTCTGTTTTCTTTGGCGTTTTAAGCTGCTTTGCACGAAAACCTTTTATGAAAAAGAACTCTGCAGTAAATTTCATGTCATTGTGCAATGAAATGCAACAAAGTGAAACAGCAACAAAAAGAGTTGTGGAGTAACGCAATGATGCATGTTGTACTGTACTTCCTGCTTTGCTGTAATCAGTAATGTTGTTTTGTTTTACAAGCTTTTCTGGACACAGGCCTGCCCAGAAGGAATAGGCACGAACGGGACTCATAGGTCCCATGCAAGGTGCCATCCCTACCCAATCCCACAACCCGTAAAGGTTGGCCACACCACCGGGGTCTACGTCCCCTACTCTTTTTGAACAGTAGTGTGGGTTCTTTTACGTCCCACAAGAACAGATCAGTGAAAGTGCTGTGAGATGGGACCTACGGTTTTTCGTCCTTATCCGAGAAGACTAGAAAGTCGAACCATTTGCAGATGTCATTACAAAGGCAGCACTTTCTTCTTAGTTATTTAAAGACCCTAAGTGTTGGTCCGGCCGGGGTTTGAACTCACGACCTCCCACTCAGCAGACCGGCATTCTCCCAACTGAGGTGACCTTCCTTGGGAAAATATACACTAAGATAATCCATTATCTATGCGAAAACTAAAGGATAGTTAACAGTTTGCCCAAATGTACTGACTTTGTGCCCAAATGCTCTAATGGTTTGTCCAACGCTTGAACGATTCGTCCAAATGCTCTAACTATTTTAACCCTCGAATGGACTGTTCTTATGACCTAATGATTAATTCTAAGCAACTAACCGTTGGTCTGTCTAATGTTTGACTTCTACTTGTACGAGGATTGTGAAAATCACCTGTCCAGTGAATTCAGGCAAATCGATCACAATTCTCAACAGGTCATCCTGTGTTCCTCCGGAAATAAATGTTAGTGCATTGATAATCTCGTTTGCGGACTCAATTCCAGAAAAGTCTGATAAAAATTTAAGCTTATTGAGAACAAACCTTGTCTATCGTGGCGCTTCATTCTCCTCCTTGTAAATGACTTTATGCAAATTTCTAGTGTCATTTGAGACCTTCGCGATAAAGTGTTGCACGATGACCCAAATGAAAGCTCTGCTGTATATTTATTGACTTCTGATAATAAACATGCTGTTTATGGAACAGACGTCTCGCCACGTCAGCTTCTTTGCCAAAAATATCAGCGACATTTCTTCTTTGTGGAGGAGACTTTCGATCACGGGCCAGGCAAAGAAACAGTCAAGTTTCACCAGTGTTCATTTCTGAACATCAATGCAGATGAAAAAGTTAGTTATAAAAGTTACATAAAAAATTTAGCTGGCCAGGTTGCTAAGCAGGAGTAATACCATCAGTTCCTTGATAAAGACACAGATATCAAGC